TGACTCTATGCACTTCACTCTGTGACAATATGACTCTATGCACTAGATTCTCTGTACTCAAACTGTGCACTTGACTCTATGACTTTTTGTACTCCACTCTCTGACTTTACATAGCGCTAAACTCTTTGCTCATGATGTTTTCGGGCCACATGTCTTCTAGTTTAATGGGGTCCATGAATCTGTATGGGGCATCTACAAGGGTTCTAGAAGGGTTTTGCCCTACATCGCACCCTATTGCACTGAGCTTGGCCCAACACCCCAGAGGTCAAGAAGTCCACCCCTGAGGCTGCCTGCCCTGGGGGCGACGTATCCCAGGGAAGGGTGCACCTGGCAATGTGCGCAGCTGGCTCCCTGAGCTCCAATGGGTCGTGGTTGGACTTTGGCTTTGGGTTCCGGCTTCTGGAGGTAATGCGAAGCCTGAAGTGGGTTCCCTGTCATTATTGTCATAGTATACCCCAAAGCCCAACTCTAACTATGAGGCACTATGTTACTTTCATTAGCCGCGCCGTTCTTCTGACTCGGGTGTTTTGCGAGCTTTGCCATGCCACCTTTGACCCTGAATCTGAAGCACAGATAAGCGCAGATGGAAAACACCAAAGCCTTGAGTTCAGAGTTCAAGATCGCAAGGCTACCGGGGCCAAGGCTGCACGAGCTGCAGCGATGAGCATGCCATGGCGGACAGCAGTGTGTTCTCGTGCTCCTTGCCCGACTTGGACTTTCAAGCTTTGGGCCCTATTGAATTGTCTGAAACTTGAAAGTCTTCCGAACCTTTGGCATCAACATTTTTAAATTCTGGCGGGGCTTGACAGTGCTCCTTCATCTTTTCCAGCTCAAGCGGCTGAAACTCGTGCGAAACATGCAGCCAGAGCTCAGAATTCCAGAATTCCAGTGTTGGAAGATGATGTTGGCCATTGGAACTGCGGCTGGGGTTCTAGATTCTAGACACATCTGGCTTCTCGAAATGCGCAAAGCACGTTGATGACTGGGTGCGATGCTCCTTACGTTGACATATCATGTCAGAGCAAGTAGGCACAGCCCCCACAAAGAAAGTTGCAGGGCCTAGCAGCCTAGCTTTGTTCAGCCTTGCGTGCTGCCTTCTGCTGCTCGCAGCGGCTGTCACCTCCCGCTAGCCCCTACGGGCTCCCCTCGAGCGCCTTCGAACTTCCAACCGTCTTAGTCCTCGGCACTTCTCGCTCTTTGAAGCTCCAGTTGTATTCTGAACCACCGCATCAGCAGGGAGACCAAAGGATCCGGTTGCCGCATCTTTGTGGCAAGAAAGCATGCAGTCCTGCAGCATTTTGCCGAGGCACTGCCTGCAGCAAAGACCGTCGTATGCAGGCTGGACATTCTTCTCATGCGCTCCGAACATCTAGGACGGTTTAATACGGCCAGGCACTGCGTTTTTGCCCTCGTGGTCCTTTGCGAGAAACCGCATAGATAAAAGCTTTGGTCGCACCGAGGCTATATGCGATGGCTTTTTTTGGGTGCGTGGTCCAGCAAACCTCGGTGGATACCTGCAAGCCCAAACCCGAAACCGCAAACCGTTGAGCTTCTCAAAGTCAGGACGTATGCTTGACTGTGGCAAGAAGTTCATAACTAAGGGATATTGAGCTCCATAAACTTCCAGGAAGCCTTGTAAATCCTGACACAACACCTTCAGTGAGGGGACCCATGGTTAGGGGATGTAGGAGTCTCTGTGGGCGAACCGACGCAGGCGGTGCAGTGGATCACGTTCCTGTCTCAGCGCACCTTCCTTTTCGCAATCGGAGCTCTGAGCGCCTTTGGAGCCAAGAAGGACGCTTGGCAAGACCCAAACCCTAAAGCCATCTGGCCTGAAGCCAGTTAGAGCACTAAAAATCATAAAAAGCCCATGGCCGAGAGAAGGCTTAAGCCATCCTAAAGCTCTGAACCCAACCTTGCCTGGGCTGCTGAGCTCAGGCTGGGGACCTTAAGCAAAGCAGCATCTACCTGAACCAGCTGATGGCCTTTGCCACCATCTCCAACACGACGCTTGCCGGCATATCAGGGCATTTATGGTCTTTTGCTTACCCTAAAGCCCTAAACCCTAAGCCCCAAAACTGCCTTGAGAACCTTGAGCCCTAAGCCTAAAGACTAAACCTTTTAGGTGTTGGGGTTGTCCTTCTTGGGCGAGTACCCAGGATCCTGGCTGCCGTGTTGCAGACCCAGACGGCGAAGGACATCAAAAGCGACGCCGCCGCCCTGCCGGCATTTCGGAGCTTTCTCCCTGCAGACCGGCATTTCGGAGCTTTCTCCTTGCAGACGACCTCATGATCATCAGATATCATCACATATCATATTATTATCATATAATGTTATCTTATCTCTCCATGGGCCTCCGAGCCAAGGCTAACTTATTCTTCAACGCTGCTATGCACACCGCCGAGACAGCTTCCGGACAAGGACATGCCCTGCAGGGAGTCAGTGCGCTCCTGAACACTTAGAACTGCCTAACTGAAGCTCAGCTTTTCGTGTCTGCTGGAACCCGCAGCAGAGAGAGGGACCCGAGGTTACCCCCAAGATGCATCGCACTGCCCAGCGCAAGATTCCGGCTTAGCCCGCCTTCAGCTGGTTCCCGCCTTAGCAGAAACTGGGGCAATCTCCTTAAAACCCTAACCCCTACAACCACAGCCTCAAACTCCCAAGCTGAAATCCTGAACCCTTGACCCTAACCCAGACTCCCCATCGGTCTGTAGGAGTGACCCAGCAGCTCCCGCCAGGATCGTTACGCAGCGCCTCCTCGCAGTGTCTTTTGTCCTACCTCGGCTACGAGAAGACCTTGTACCTTGGTCGCAAGATTTCCAGTGCTTCACAGGCTGCGGGTGGACGGTTTCGGCATGGCTGCACAGAAGTGATGACTCCGTAGTTACTGTAGTTGTTGTGCGGACTGCTCAGATGGGGCAGTCACCTGTTGGATATCGCCGCTGGGCCGCACAAGCCTGCACGGGAACCAGAACCCATGGATCGAGTAGCTCCTCTACGGGTCCTTGTGGTAGGGCAGCAAGGCTCTTTCGATTGGGAGTATTACCGTGGCTCCTTCATGGGTTCCTTCTGATCGGGATCCGACAGTATTACTACTGTGGCTCGAGAAGAAGGATCCTACTATTACCGTCCTTCTTGGGGTTATTTAAAAAGGGATCCTGCTGTTATCACGAAGATCACTATGGTTACAGTTTCAGCAGTTGAAGATGTGCTTGGTCCTGGAGTCTTCAAGCAGCCTGTGAGAGTCACGAGTAGTGTGTCTGTGTCTGGCCCGTTGCCGTACTTAGGGCCTGAAGGCATCAATCTCCAACAACTCTGAAACCCTGACCCTAAAGCCTAAACCCTGAATCCCAAACCCCTAAGCCCCTAAACCCTACACCCTGAAACCCTAAACCCTAAACCCTAAGGTTGTGGCAGCCGGGCTCATTTCATCGCTGTCCTTGATGAAGGATTCTCGGGTTGCGCTCATCGCAGGCCTGAGCCTTTGGAAAGACTCTGGACGCAGCCATCCTTACTGCATGGTGCAATGGACTTTGAGTCCAAGTATCAAACACGAAAAGTGGCTTGATTGCTCGCCAATTCAACCATGGAGCTATGGTCTAGAAGCTAAACCCTAAACCCGAAAGCCTAAGCCGGTTTGGGGTTGAGTATACCCGGGCATCAAGACAGCTCTCAGACGATCAATGCATGCTCATTCGCGTGTTTGCAAGCAGCTGAACCTACGTGGAGACAGATGTGTATTTGTATGATCTGGGTAGCATGTATACATACACACATACATAATTTCATACATACTTATGTACGCACGTACGTACATATACATACATACATGCATGCAGGGATGTATGCATGGACGGATGTATGAATGCTGGTATGGTATGTTATGGTATGGTATGATATGATAGGCTGCACTATGCTGCGCTATGCCATGCTGTGCTGTGCCACACTATGCTATGCATGCATGTCCGCACCTGTGTATGTACGTGTGTATTCATGTATGTTTGTATGTAACATGTTCGCATGCATGCATGTTTTGTATGTATCTGTTTATACACATGTGAGTACACATGTGCATGTAGATACATGTGTGTATACATATTTGTTGAGTATACAGGGGGTATATTACAAAGGCGGTCTTCTGCAAGGTAATCTACTACAGCACAAGGTAATCCAGATGGTATTCTATGGGGCATTCTGTAAGGTATACTGTAGGCTACACCTGTGCAAAAGGTACTCTGTAGATTTAGGAAGGTATTTTATATAGGGTATTCCACATGAAATTCTGTAATGTATATACGGACGGGGTATTCTATAAGGTAGTTCTAAGGCTACTCTTCTTGGTTCTTGATTTTCTTTATGGGAGTCCCTTACCCAAAAGCCAAAAATCAATTGGGGACTTCTCAGATCTTGGGCTTCGTATATGTATATGTATATGTATACATATATATATATATAAATGTATATATATATATAAATGTATATATATATATATGCATATATATATATATTCTCTCTCATGTATGTATATGGACACATATTTATGAACATACATACATATATATATATATACACACATATATATACATCGATATATATATATGCACATGCACAGACATGTGCATTCACATGCATATATGCATTTCTGCATGTATTCGTTTATGTACATGGATATGCATATGTTTATGTTTGCGCATGTATTTGTGCGTGTATATGCATATGCATATGATTATGTGTGCGTATATGTACCCCTAGTCACCCATCTGCCTATCTGTCTATCTGCTTATCTTGCTTGTCTACCTATCTACTTACCTAGCCACCCGTGCCTGCTTGCCTGCCTACCTCCTCCCTGCGTGCCTGCCTGCCTGCCTGCCTGCCTGCCTACCTATCTACCTACACTCTTCTACGTACACACACGTACACACCTGCCCATCTATCT